ATAACGAAAGAATAATTGACATTTACCTTTAATGAAGATCTGGTGATTGATAGGATGGGACGGGGGGAGAGCGTGTATGGTGTTAGCATTTAGAAGGGGAATCCCCCTCCATTAGGACTTGAGGTAGCAAGTCCTTTTCTGGGGTCACTTCCCTTCTTCTTTAAATGCCACTAGGACCAGGTTGAGTCACTGGACCTCTGTCGCACAACATATCTGTCCATAGAGGCCTGTACCTCTCGTTCCTTTATGACTTTCCTAAAGTGGTTCACAACATTGTCAGTGTAATAGTCACCAGCACGGCTTGCAATAGCTGTCTGAGGGTGATTTTCATCCATGAAGGTTTGCACTTCAAGCCACTTTGCACAGATTTCCTTAATCTTTGAAGTAGGCAACTTCTTCAATTTCTCTCTCCCCTCCTCCGAAGCAATTTCCTCAGGTGTGGCCTCTTGCTGTTGAAGTTGATCTAGCAGCTCATCAGTGGTTAGTTCTTCATTGTCCTCCTCCACCAACTCTTCCACATGCTCCCCACTAACCTCCAACCCCAAGGACTTCCCCAATGCCACAATGGATTCCTCAACTGGCATAGGCTTCTCAGGGTTAGCCTCAAACCCTTCGAAATCCCTTTTGTCTACACTTTCTGGCCACAGTCTTTTCCAGGCTGAGTTCAAGGTCCTCGTCACTCCCTCCCAAGCCTTACCTATAAGTGTTACACAATTGAGGATAGTAAAGTGATACTTCCAAAACTCCTTTAGAGTCAATTGAGTTTCTATGGTCACTTCAAAGCATCTTTCAAACATAGCTTTTGTGTACAGTTTCTTGAAGTTGGAAATGACCTGCTGGTCCATGGGCTGCAGGAGAGGAGTGGTATTAGGAGGCAAAAACTTGACCTTAATGAAACTCATGTCCCCACAAAGTCGCTCTGACAAGTCTGTAGGATGACCAGGGGCATTGTCTAATACCAGGAGGCACTTAAGGTCTAATTCCTTTTCAATTAGGTAATTTTTCACACTGGGGGCAAATGCATGGTGTAACCAGTCATAGAAAAAGTCCCTAGTGACCCATGCCTTACTGTTTGCCCTCCACAGCACACACAAATTAGCCTTGAGGACATTCTTTTGCCTGAATGCTCTGGGAGTTTCTGAGTGATACACCAATAAAGGCTTCACTTTGCAATCACCACTAGCATTGGAACACATCAACAGAGTAAGCCAGTATTTCATAGGCTTATGTCCTGGGAGTGCCTTTTCCTCCTGAGTAATGTAGGTCCTGCTTGGTAATTTCTTCCAAAACAGGCCTGTTTCGTCACAATTAAACACTTGTTCAGGTTTCAATCCTTCAGCCTCTATGTACTCCTTGAATTCATGCACATATTTTTCAGCTGCTTTGTGGTCTGAACTGCCAGCCTCCCCATGACTAATCACACTATGTATACCACTACGATTCTTAAATCTTTCAAACCAACCTTTGCTGGCCTTAAATTCACTCACATCACCACTAGTTGCAGGCAATTTTTTTAACAAATCATCATGCAACTGCCTAGCCTTTTCACAAATGATTGCTATCTGTTTTTCATTTATCCACACCAATAACAGTCTCTCAACATTTTCTAACACTTGCGGTCGCTGTTTCGTAATCACAGTTGCACCTTTTGCAAGAACAGCTTCCTTGACTGCCGTTTTCTTGCTCACTATAGTAGAGATGGTTGTTTGGGGTTTACTATACAACCTGACCAGCTCTGACACACGCACTCCACTTTCGTACTGTGCAATTATCTCTTTCTTCATTTCAACAGTCATTAGCACCCTTGGTCTCGAAGGGTTGGCACTGGGAGCTTTCTTGGGGCCCATGGTGACTTATTTTGCAAAAACAGGCACCAAAAACAGTGATAATATGGAATGTACCGAATGTATCCTTAGATGCGCGCACGCTGGCTGGCTTGTAAACACTGGCACACACGGGGCAGTTCAGGCCACACATGGACACATCTCGTACGAACCACATCGCATACCGGGTTTTGTATCGGGAAGCGAGGCAAATTTTCTGCGACTCAGTTACCGGATTTATTGGATACTGATAGCATCGCGAACCGGGGGTCCACTGTATATATAAAATATGAAATAACTTTTAAAAGCACTTGAAATTTTGTTGTTTCCAGACATAATGGAGAGACTTAGTGCTTGGATCTCACAGATAATGTAAACAAACCGGGTGGGGCGTGGTGACCATATTAGAAAGTCACGTGGGGGGAGCCATATAGCGAGTTTTGGTCATAATTTGAAATGACCGTATTAGCGGAACGCCATAAAGCGAAATGCCATAAAGCGGGGCCCTACTGTACATATAAAATATGCAATAACTTTAAATTAAAACTCTTGAAATTTTAGAAAATTTCCAGACAGAGATATGTGCTCACGGAGAATGTAAACAAACCAGGTGTAGCGCACCATACAGTAGACCCTCGACCAACGATGGCATCGATTAACGATAAATCCGACTAGCGATGCATTTTAACGCAAAAATTTTGCCTCGACTAGCGCTAAAAACCTCGACCAACGCTATTCGTTCCGTCTGAGACGCGTCCACTTCTGGCCAGTGTTTACAAGCCAGCCAGCCACCGCGGTCGCTTCCAAGCATACAATTGGAACATTTCATATTATCACAGCCTTTTTAGTGATTGCACCTGCAAAATAAGTCACCACGGGCCCCAAGAAAGCTTCTAGTGCCAACCCTACAGCAAAAACGGTGAGAATTACTATGGATATGAAGAAAGAGATCATTGCTAAGTATGAAAATGGAGTGCGTGTCTCCGAGCTGGCCAGGTTGTACACAAAACCCCAATCAACCATCGCTACTATTGTGGCCAAGAAAACGGCAATCAAGGAAGCTGCTCTTGCCAAAGGTGCAACTATGTTTTCGAAACTGAGATCGCAAGTACTCGAAGATGTTGAGAGACTGTTATTGGTGTGGATAAAGGAAAAACAGATAGCAGGAGATAGCATCTCTCAAGCGATCTATGTGAAAAGGCTAGGAAGTTGCATGATGATTTAATTAAAAAAATGCCAGCAACTAGAGGTGATGTGAGTGAATTTAAGGCCAGCAAAGGTTGGTTTGAGAGATTTAAAGGGAAGGGAAGTAACCCCGGAAAAGGACTTGCCACCTCAAGTCCTAATGGAAGGGGATTCCCCTTCTATACACTAACACCATCAACACACTCCCCTCCCATCCCATCAATCATCACCAGATCTTCAATAAAGGTAAGTGTCATGTAACTGTGCATGTCTTCTTCAGTTTGTGTGTATTAAAATTAATATTTCATGTGGTAAAAAAAAAAAAATTCATACTTTGGGGTGTCCTACACGGATTAATTTGATTTCCATTATTTCTTATGGGGAAAATTAACTTGATTAACAATAATTTTGACTAACGATGAGCTCTCAGGAACGGATTAATAGCGTTAGTCAAGGGTCCACTGTATTTGAAAGACCATTCGCCATATAGCAAATTTTGGTCATAATTTGAAATTGCTGTATTAGCAGAACGCTGTAAAGCGGGGCCCTACTGTATATCTAATTAAATTTCTTTCTTAGCAAAGAATATCTGCTCATTATTTAAAATTCAATTCTCTTCCTTTACACTTGCAACTTTGTACATGTTAAATAAAGAGAACAGAGAATAGTTTGCAAATAGGAGAAAGAAATTTATGACAACATTTTGGTTTGACTTGGACTATTAACTAATCACACAGTGTGACTAGTTAATGGTCCAAGCAGGACTGAAATATCTTCATGAGTTAATTTTGCCCATGTGCAGGTTATTTGTATAAAGACAACAGAACTACAATACAGTGTACAGTAAGTGCATGCGCAGGGGAAGTGAGCAGAAGCTGGATTGTCAGAGTGCATGAGAGTGTGTGTGTGTGTGTATGTGTGTGAGTGAGTGACAGAGTGAGAGAGAGAGTGTGTGTGCACAAACAAATGAGCTCAAAAAGTGAAATTGAGAGAGAGAGATTGAGGAGTAATCTTGGTTATTAGCAGTCACCAGGAAGGTCTGGTCATAAGTGAGGTTGTGGGGAAAAAAGCACTAGAAATCAGGTAAAAATGTGTAAATCACATTGATGTGTGACATTTTACATTTATACAACCTCTTCACAAACCCACTACCATTATAGTATGCTTCTCACTTAGCGACGAATTCGTTTAATAACATCGTCTTAGGAACGGAGCTCCGTCGTTAAGTGAGGAGAGGCTGTATTGTATTGTATACCTAAAGAACTTTTTTAAACTGCTAGTGTATCCACTGGTCTAAACACTTCATAACTTGAAAATTTCTTATGAATATTTAGGTATTTTTCCTTCATCTGTCAGGTTATGAAAATCGTCAAATTATTATTGGATTAGTGATGGGACTCTAGCTTTTCTAGTTTTTAAGGCATTTTTACAACTTCATTACTTCATTTCTGAAATTATCTTAAATTCTACAAACTGAAATTACAGAACTTTTGCCCAGCCCACTTTCAGTGCTACCCTGACAATAAGCTCTGACAAATCTATTTACTCACGTGCAAGTCCCACTCAAATCCAACCCCTCTCATTGTGTATTTGTCCACTCTAAACTTGAAACTACCCGAGGTTCTAGCTTCAATAACCCTACTAGGCAGACTGTTCCACTCATCATCTACCCTATTTCCAAACTAGTACTTTCCTATATCCTTTCTAAATCTAAACTTATCTAATTTGAATCCATTATTGCGGGTTCTCTCTTGGAGAGATATCCTCAAAACCTTACTTATATCCCCTCTGTTAATACCTATCTTCCACTTATACACCTCGATCATGTCTTCCCTCATTCTTCGTCTTACAAGTGAATGTAATTTAAGGGACTTCAATCTTTCTTCATACGGAAGATTTCTAATGTTAATTAATTTGGTCATTCTTCACTGAATGTTTTCTAACGAATTAATATCCATTGTGTAATATATTCTTATTTTCTTTGTATCCTAGGGATAAGACAGAAAAGTTGAAGGAACTTACAGAAGATGAACGTCGTGAGCTTGTAAAATCTGAGAATCGTCGCCTGAACCGTGATCTACAGTACTCATGCCCGAGCTCCTCGACTACGTACAGTACTCTAAGATCTAAAGAAAAAGGTCTCAAAATTTACCTAAACCATGAAGACTAAATATAAGCAAAACATATCATGTCTTCATGTCTTGAGGTGCAGTATAGAGTGGATGGTGACCTGTATTCAAAACAGGATCAGGGAGAAGTTGTAACTGATAATGGTGAAACAAAATACTCTCATTGGGATTATAGAAAAGCAGACTGTTTATGGATATTAGGTTAATATACCAGTGCCTAAAACTTTCTTGTAGTCACAACTGCACACCTCTGGCAATGGTGTTAAATATGTCAAACTTAAACACAGTATTATATGCCCGGTGATTTATTCAGAAGATAAATGGAGAAAGTATAATTTTCACCTCCATTATTTGACACTATGTGTCATTGAAAATAAAGAAAACTCTTGAATAATGTTTATTTAAACAAATAGTAAATTTCTGTATATAAGTTTAAATTGGTTATTTTGAGATGGAAGATACAGCCTGTATATCATATATGCTTGACCCACATAGTTCTTATAATATATTTAGTATTTACAATACACAAACCACCTCCATGATACAAAGAAAATTTGAAAACTACACAAAAATACAAAGATTTGGTACAAATATAATCTGGAATTCCTTATAAAACACTAGCATGTGCGAGATATTTTAAAGTGTCAAAGCACCTTAAGGGAAGTGACAAAAGTTTTCAAGTATTCACACCAGCTTTATCTCATTTGTGGATGAAGAATATATTTTCATTGCTTCTGTCCACATACAAATATAACTATAGTATACAATAGTAGTGCTGCAAACTTAAACCAACAACAAAAATAAATCCTGCTTTTGATATTCAGAGTACTGTACTGCTAAGCCTAAAGATAAGGGGAATAAAACAAAATTGTTACATAGATATCAAGGGGGAGTATAGTAATAGTATACAATAACAATACCAACAAGTTGATATTTAAGACACAAGTATCTTTATTCTGACACATTTTTGCCTACACTGTAGGCTTCTTCAGTCAAATACAGAAGAGGCCTCAGTAGAGATAGATGTAAAGGCAATATAATCAGTCCATCACCATCCAAGACATAGATTTGAGGAGATCAGTCCCTCAGCCTGAAGAAGAGTTCTGTTCCATAGTCTGGAACAATGTGAAACTGAAGCAACAGAATGGAGACTTGTATACTGTCAAGATGAGGCTGAGAAAATTTTGATAGAAGAGGCAGGGTCCTCTAGTAGAAGCAAGAAGGTGGTGATTGAGAGGCAATGCAGAAAACCTACTGAGCAGGTCCCTCTCAAATCTAACCCATCTTGCTTGCAACCAGTGGTCAGGCAAAGGTGTCAAAAATGTCCCTGTACCAAGATACTGTTGTGTTGTAGTGTCTTGAGTTTGAATATGATAATGGTATACAATACTGACAGGTTGATAATTAAGATATGCCTCTGTATTGGATTGAAGAAATCTACTGTGTAGGCGAAATGTTTAAGAATATACCTAACTGTTCCACAAATGTCCTAATTATCATATCAAGGGGGACGGGAGAAGGAAATAGAGAAATAGACATGCTCAAGGATGCCCTTGCTCAATATGAAGGTTGATATTTAAAAGCTAATATGGGTACTTTTTTTTTTTTGTATCAATAAATTTGGAAGGAATATTTATGGTGTAGTTTATGACGAGGCATGTGAATTTTAGCTAACGTAATTCTTTTTTTTTTAACATACTGACCATCTTCCACTGAGGCAGAGTGACCCAAAAAAGAAGAAACAGTTTTTCATAATTTGGAAATGGGAAATATAATTGAAATAAAGCAGCACCAAACCAAGGAAGTACAGTTTTGTTTTAGTAGATCATCTGCAAGTTATTCATGATTTTTCCTTAACATGTCTGAATAATTTGAAATTTAGTTTTATATCAGGTGTGTGAACAAAATTACTATAGATATTGCAAGAGATTATTTTCAGATGCTTAAATACACTAAAAGTATGTAGATTCATGCATTATCTAAACACTTTACCTTGTACTTTTGTATGATGCTTACTATAATGAAAGGAGGAAGGAATACTATTACATATATATATATTTTTTTGTTTGAATGCAGTTAATGAAAGAGTTGACTGTGTTACAGAATAAAAAACTTAAAGTATAGAGGTTAGCTACTTAGCTAAATGTGACCATTTACTCATTTCTTAACATTCAAGCAAGGTATCTAAACCCAGGGAAAAAAGTTTTCTTATACAAATTGTTATTTTGGAAGATTTTAGTTACATATAAACTGACAGAGGAAGAATGTACATATATAATGAAATGCATGCTTGCCCAGTCAGCATCTGTAATTGACTTGGTGTTCCAGTAATATACTCAGTTCATAAACAGCCTAGATACATAGGTCAGCATATCCATAGGTTAGGTTATTTTCATGTACCAAAAAATATCTAACAACCTAACCTACACAGATGTTAAACTGTGTATTCCACTGTCGTGGTGAGTCATGTGACTGAATACTAATCGCTGATTGCCCAGGCATGTCATGTAATTACTGACAACTGATTTGTCATGCATGTTACTTTGAACCATACATTTTATTATTACATTCTAACTCGTCTACATGGGGAAGTGGAAAAGAATTTTTCCTCCGTAAGCCAGCATGTCGTAAGAAGCTACTAAAATGCCAGGAGCAAGGGGCTAGTAACCCCTTCTGTATAAATTACTAAATTTAAAAAGAAAAACTTCCAATTTTTCTTTTTGGGTCACCCTGCCTCAGTAGGATATGGCTGGTTTGTTGAAAAAAAAAAATTATCTTTAATTTTTTTTTTTTTTTTTAATACAGTATATCCCAAGGTAACAATTTGCACAAGAAATTATTTATTCTTAAGTGTGGATACTTTGCCTGCACATTAAGAAAAATAGCTACTCAACAGAGTTCAGCCAAGTACAAGAAATAAATAATTAGCTACTCGACAAAGTTTCGCCAAGTACCTGAACTCTATATTGACCAGAAGTTTTTCTTACAAATTAAAAAAAAAAGATTACTGCTTTTGTGATGTAATTTTGATTTATGATATACTATTTAATTTAAAAATCGTTTAAAATTCACTGAAAAGCCTTTTTGTGCAGTACTCATAGAGCAGTTAAGTGTTATTGTTAACTATATTATCCTCAAAGTAAACTAAATGAAATTCTGCCTTACTTTAGATCCAAATAAAGACCATTATTACATTGTTTCATATTGCCATTAAAGTTCATCACACTGGTGAACATGTATATAATTGCATGTCTTTCTTTGGCATTGTCTTGTGGTAATACGTAAATGTCCCTTGTTTGAAAGAAACAGCTGGATCTGTATTGGTGTTGTGTTTGAATTGTGGAGTTCTGTTGATTACTTGGGGCAGCACTGATAGCCATTGGCTCACCTTGTACATACACCTAGTGTGATAGACCTGTCTTCTCATGAGTAGCAGGCACCTTGTACAGTAAAGAATTTTTTTTTAATTTTGTAAATAGTTGCCAAAGATATAAATCCCATTTTTCAAGACCAAATTGACTTGGTGTTTTCTGCCTTAAAGGAAGTAGAACACTGTAGGGAGTCCCGCTTAGATTGCCCATACTGACTGAATCAACACCTTGTATCATAATTGTGGTTTCTTATGTTTGTATATGATCCCTGGTGGTTTCTCTCTTTCAATTGAAGAGGGAATTGGCAGGATTTTTTTTTATTACTACCAAAGATGCTAGGAATATTATTATGCATCTTTTTTATCATTAACTTCATGCAATTGTCGTGTCTTCAAGAACCCTAGTCCATGTTCACATATTTGTTGGAAGTTGTCATTTTGTCTTGTATATTTATGTGCATATGTTAACACTTATTTATTATTTCAAATGTTTATCAGTTGGAGAGATGCTCTACAATGAAGCTTCCTTTAGTTATACGGAATAATTAAAATGAACTTGATTGAAGAAGTATTTTTATTTCTGCTTTGAAATAATCCCGAAAGGCTAGCAGTAGTTAATAATAAGGATAATCCAGTCATGTTTATTACATAAAGCCCCCCCCCCCCCCCACACACACACAAAAAAAAAAGTTGTCAGTCACTTGAGTCGATAGTAATACAGCCTCACCCCACTTACCGACATTCAGTGGACCCTCGGGTAACGATTTTAATCCATTCCAGAGAGCCTGTCCTTAACCTGTTATCGTTAGCCGAATTAATTTTCCTCATAAGAACATAGAACATAAGAAAGGAGGAACACTGCAGGAGGCCTGCTGGCCCATACTAGGCAGGTCCTTTACAATTCATCCCACTAACAAAACATTTGCCCAACCCAATTTTCAATGCCACCCAAGAAATAAGCTCTGATGTGAAAGTCCCACTCATGTACTTATCCAACCTAGATTTGAAACTACCCAAAGTCCCAGCCTCAATAACCCAACTAGGTAGACTGTTCCACTCATCAACTACCCTATTTCCAAACCAATACTTTCCTATGTCCTTTCTAAATCTAAACTTATCTAATTTAAATCCATTACTGCGGGTTCTCTCTTGGAGAGACATCCTCAAGACCTTATTAATATCCCCTTTATTAATACCTATCTTCCACTTATACACTTCGATCAGGTCTCCCCTCATTCTTCGTCTAACAAGTGAATGTAACTTAAGAGTCTTCAATCTTTCTTCATAAGGAAGATTTCTAATGCTGTGTATTAATTTAGTCATCCTACGCTGAATGTTTTCTAACGAATTTATGTCCGTTTTGTAATACGGAGACCAGAACTGAGCTGCATAATCTAGGTGAGGCCTTACTAATGATGTATAAAGCTGCAGTATGACCTCTGGACTTCTGTTCTTACACTTCTTGATATAAATCCCAGTAATCTATTTGCCTTATTACGTACGCTTAGGCATTGCTGTCTTGGTTGAAGGTTGCTGCTCACCATAACCCCCAAGTCCTTTTTGCAATCTGTATGGCTAAGTTCTACATAATTTAACTTATAAGTACTAGGGTTATGGGCACTCCCAAGCTTCAGAACCTTGCATTTATCTACATTGAACTGCATCTGCCACTTTTCTGACCAAGAATAGAGTTTGTTTAAATCCTCCTGAAGTTCCATAACATCTACGTTTGAATCAATTATCCTACCTATCTTTGTGTCATCGGCGAATTTGCTCGTATCACTAGTAATTCCCTCATCAAGATCATTGATATATATTATAAACAACAATGGGCCCAAGACTGACCCCTGTGGAACGCCACTTGTTACAGATCCCCACTCAGATTTAACCCCATTTATGGACACACTCTGCTTCCTGTCAGTGAGCCATGACTCGATCCACGAGAGCACTTTTCCCCCAATGCCATGAGCTGCCACTTTCTTTAACAGTCTATGGTGCGGAACTCTATCAAAAGCCTTACTAAAATCTAAGTAAATAATATCAAATTCTTTATTGTGGTCAACAGCCTCAAAAGCTTTACTGAAGAAAGTTAATAAATTAGTTAGACAAGACCGGCCTCTTGTGAATCCATGCTGAGTATCATTAATCAAGCTATACATATCGAGATGGCTTCTTATAATCTCAGCTATAATTGACTAGTAATTTGCCTACAATTGAGGTCAGGCTTATTGGGCGGTAATTTGACGGTAACGACTTGTCCCCTGTTTTAAAAATAGGAATTACATTAGCCATCTTCCACATATCAGACACTACACCTGTTTGACGAGATAAATTAAAAATATTAGTTAATGGTTCACAGAGTTCCATTTTGCATTCCTTAAGAACCCTTGAAAAAACCTCATCAGGACCCGGCGACTTATTTTGCTTCAGTCTGTCTATCTGCTTCACAACCATCTCACTAGTGACTGTGATGTTACATAATTTATCTTCTTCTAGCCCACTGTAAAAATTAATTACTGGAATATTGTTAGTGTCTTCCTGTGTAAAAACTGAGAGAAAATAATTATTTAAAATCAAGCACATTTCATTCTCTTTGTCAGTAAGGTGCCCATAGTTATTTTTAAGGGGACCTATCTTATCTCTAACTTTTGTTCTATAGACCTGGAAAAAACTTTTTGGGTTAGTTTTAGAATCCCTAGCAACTTTAATTTCATAGTCCCTTTTAGCTTTTCTTATCCCCTTTTTAATGTCCCTCTTAATGTCAATATACTGATTCATAAGATGACCCTCACCTCTTTTGATACGCCTATAAATTCCTTTCTTATGCCCTAGTAGATATTTGAGCCTATTATTCATCCATTTTGGGTCATTTCTATTTGATCTAATTTCTTTATATGGGATAAACGCTCTTTGAGCAGCATGTATAGTGTTCAGAAAACTGTCATATTGATAGCTCTCTTCGTTACCCCAGTCAACAGATGATAAGTGTTCTCTAAGCCCAACGTAATCTGCTAAGCGAAAATCTGGGACTGTTATTGAGTTATCGCTACTATCGTACTTCCATTCAATGCTAAATGTAATTGATTTGTGGTCGCTAGCACCCAGTTCCTCTGAAATAATGGAAATCCAATTAATCTGTTCCTGCTGTCAGGAGGCTTGACAGAATAGTACTTCAATATGATGCTATTATCAACTCTACGGCTTATTTATCTATCACAATTCATCTAATATGACATAAACAATATTAATAACACAGAAACATAATATATACTCTAGAATGAATAAAATATGTCATAATGTACGTGAGAATAAGTGATGGAAGTGGTGTTGTTGGGCTTAAAATGGCCATTGAGAGAAGCCATACATATTAGTGGTGGTGGAGGCTTCTGCCACCACCACTATCCACAAACAATATATGAACGTAATTTATAAATAAGAA